GCTGAGATTTCCCAGCACTTCAACCAAACACACAGTTTTAGGTATAATATAAAACAGGTTTATTAACTGCAGACAGAGAGATTTAAAGTGGTTATAAGCATCGAGCATAGAGATCACAGTTCGTTACAGCAGAAATAAAAGTAAATTCCAAATCTGAGTTCTATAAACTAAAAAAGCTTTAAATCAAGCCGGGTCTCGCCCTGGCAGAGGGTACAAGCAGGTGACAGATCCTCAATAAGCAGTCTGGGACTCACCTCCAGCCTGGGACCCCCTCCCCAGTTCAAAGTCTTTGTCCTCCAGCTGTGTTTCCAGGTGTTGAGTTGTGGGGGGGAGTGAGACCAAGTGGTGACGTCTTTTTCCCTCTTTTATAGTTTCTTCCAGTTTCTGGAAAGATCTTTTGCTATGATGCGGGTCAAACAGTCTCCATTATCTACGTTCTGTTTCTGAGAAATCTCCATTTTATACAGTTCCTGAGATAGTGGATTCTTGGTGGGTATTAATGAGCCTTTAACGCGGTCGGGTTCCTCCACTGTCGTACCTGAGAGGCTGGTTGTGTCTGTTCCCCAACATCACAACTTACAAATAGAAAACTTCACAACCTCGCATACCATGACAGCACGTACAATCCAATGGGATATTAACAGATCAAGACTTTTCAAATCATACCTCACAAGGCAGACTTTGTACAGAACATATCATATTTATATGACAGTGGTGAATATGGGGATTCCAGGGTGCTGTTTTGAGGTACAGAATACAACAGTCACACATTTTATTTAAAGTCGCCAATATTTTAAACACCTCCCGACTCCATTGGCTTCCAAAACAGAGCTGGATATTTCTGGTTTCCTGAAACTTTTGGCAGAGTTTTGTAGGTCGCCGACTCTTACAAAATTTGGTTGAGGCATTCGCCACGCTTGTCATTTTCCTCTAAGTCCCAGATCCTGGAATCAGCTGATTAGGTGGAAATTTCAGCTTTCTTTTCTATTTTTTTAGGTAAGTTTCCAGACTTCCTTGTTGCAGAGAAAAGGTTGAAATGGTTCAAAAAAATTCATAAGGGAAAAAAGAAGAACCCAAATGTCTTTCTTTTCAAACCAATCTCATGATGTTTTAGGGGGTGGCTCATAAGGTTTGAAGGCTTGGGCTTGGCAATGAAGAGACAGGACTAGATTTTTAAAATGGCTAAGGAAGTTAGGTGCCAAATTCCCATTGAAGTTACAAGTTAAGCACCTAACTCACATACGTGCTTTTGAAAATCTCACTCGTAGAAGCCTAAATCAATTCAATTACATCATGTACTGGCAGACAGCTAAAAAGTAACATTTAAGTGCTTATATACAAATGCTAGACGTCAAAATAATAAGATGGGTGAACTTGAGTACCTTGTAGTAAATGAGGATGTTGATATAATAGGCATCACAGAAACTTGGTGGAATGAGGATAATCAATGGGACACAGAAATACTAGGTTACAACATATATCAGAAGAACATAACAGGACATGCTGCTGGGGGTGTGGCACTATGTGCGAAAGAAAGCATAGAGTCAAATGAAGTAAAAATCTTAAATGAACCAAACTGTACCATACAATCTCTATGGATAGTAATTTGATGCTCTAATAATAAGCAGGAGGTATATATTACCAAGCACCTGACCAGGATGGTGATAGAGACTGTGAAATGCTCAAGGAGATTAGAGAGACAATAAAAATAAAAAACTCAGTAATAATGGGGGATTTCAACTGTCCCCAAATTGACTGGGTACATATCACTTCCGGACAGGACACAGACATGAAGTTTCTTGACACCATAAATGACTGTTTCTTGGAGCAGCTAGTCCCGGAACCCACAAGGGGAGAGGCAATTCTTCATTTAGTCTTAAGTGGAGTGCAGCATCTTGTTCAAGAGGTGAATATAATGAAACTGCCTGGTAATAGTGGCCATAATATAATTAAATTTAACATCCCTGTGACAGGGAAAACACCACAGCATCCCATCATGGTAGCATTTAATTTCAGAAATTGGAACAACAAAAATGAGGAAGTTAGTTAACCAGAAATTAAAGGGTCCAGTGCCAAAAGTGAAATCCCTTCAAGCTTCATGGAAACTTTTTTAAAACACCATAATAGAGGCTCAAATGTATACTCCAAATTAAAAAACATAGTAAGAAAACTAAAAAAGTTCCACCGAGGCTAAATAACAAAGTAAAAGAAGCTTTGAGAGGCAAAAAAGCATCCTTTAAAAAGGGGAAGTTAAATCCTATTGAGGAAAATAGAAAGGAAGCTAAACTCTGGTAAGTGAAAGTAGCATTAGGAGGCCAAAAGAGAATTTGAAGAACAGCTCGCCAAAGACTCGAAAAGTTATAACAAAAATTACATCAGAAGCAGGATGCTGCTAAACAACCAGTGGGGCCACTGGAGGATCGAGATGCTAAAGGAGCACTCAGTGATGATAAGGTCATTGAGGAGAAACTAAATGAATTATTTGCATCGGTCTTCACGGCTGAGGATGTGAGGGAGATTCCCAAACCTGAGCCATTCTTTTGAGGTGACAAATCTGAGGAACTGTCCCAGATTGAGGTGTCCTTAGAGGAGATTTTGGAACAAATTGATAAACTAAATAGTATAAGTACCAGGACCAGATGGGATTCAGTTAAGAGTCCTGAAGGAACTCAAATGTGAAATTGCAGAACTATTAACTGGGGTATGCAATCTATCATTTAAACAGCTTCTGTACTATATGACTGGAGGATAGCTAATGTGACACCAATTTTTTTAAAAAGCTCCACAGGTGATACCGGCAATTACAGGCCAGGAAGCCTAACGTCAGTAATGTGCAAACTGCTCGAAACTATAGTAAAGAACAGAATTATCACACACAGAGATGAACATAATTTGTTAGGGAAGAGTCCTCATGGTGTTTGTAAAGGGAAATGATGCCTCACCAATCTACGAGAATTCTTTGTGGGGGTCAAAAAGTATATGGACAAGGGTGATTCCAGTGGATATAGTGTGCTTGGAGTTTCAGAAAGCCTTTGACAAGTTTCCTCACCAAAGGCTCTTAAAAAAAGGAAGCTGTCATGAGATAAGAAGGAAGGTCGTCCCATGCATCAGGAACGGGTTAAAAGATAGGAAACAAAGGGTAACAATAAATGGTCAGTTTTCAGAATGGAGACAGGTAAATAGTGGTGTCCCTAAGGGTCTGTACTGGGACCAGTGCTGTTCAATATGTTCATAAAGGAACTGGAAAAAGAGGTAAACAGTGAGGTGGCTAAATTTTCTGATGATACAAAATACTCAATATAGTTAAGTTCAAAGCTGACTGTGAAGAATTACAAAGGGATCTCACAAAACTGGGTGACTGGGCAACAACATGGCAGATGAAATTCAGTGTTGATAAATTCAAAGTTATGCACATTGGAAAACATAATCCCAACTATAAATATAAAATGATGGGGTCTAAATTAGCTGTGACCACTCTAGAAAGAGATCTTGGAGTCATTGTGGATACTTCTCTAAAAACATCCACTCAATGTGCAGTGGCAGTCGAAAAAGCGAACAGAATGTTGAGAATCTTTAAGAAAGGAATAGATAATAAGACTGAAAATATCATATTGTCTCTGTATAAATCCATGGTACGCCCACATCTTGAATACTGCATGCAGATGTGGTCGCCCTATCTCAAAAAAGATATACTGGAATTAGAAAAGGTACAGAAAAGGGCTATGAAAATGATTAGGGGTATGGAACAGCTTCCATATCAGAAGAGATTAATAAGACTGGGACTTTTCAGCCTGGAAACGAGATGACTAAGGGGGGATATCATGGAAGTCTATAAAATCCTGACTGGTGTGGAACAAAGTGATGGGGGAAAGTAAATAGGGAAGTGTTATTTATTCCTTCTCATAAAACAAGAACTAGGAGTCACCCAATGAAATTAATAGATAGCTGGATTAAAAGAAACAAAAGAAAGTATTGCTTCACGCAATGCACAGTGAACCAGAGGATGTTGTGAAGGGCAAGACTATAATGGTTAAAAAAAGAACTAAACAAATTCACGGAGGATAGGCCCATCAATTGCTATTAGGCAGGATGGGCAGGGATGGTGTCTGTAGTCTCTGTTTGCCAGAAGCTGGGAATGGGTCACAGGGGATACATCACTTTGGTGATTCCTGTTCTGTTCATTCCCTCTGGGGAACCTGGCTTTGCCCACTTTTGGTAGACAGGATACTGGGCTAGATGGACTTTTGCTCTGACTCAGTATGGTCATTCTTATGTTCTTATGTTATCATAACCACTGGGTGCAAAGATGACATGACGACAAAAACAATAACACAAAGATATAGAAAAGAACAGACCATAAAGAATGAAACTCCCCAAAATAATCTAATAATGAACAAAATTAAGAATCCAAATATTTTGTAAAAATGACAGATTCCTACATTCCAAGGCTGGAAGGGACTGGTGTGATCATCTCATCTGACCTCCCGGATCACACGGGCCAGAGAACAGCCCCAAAACAATTCCTAGAGCAGAGCTGTTAGACAAACATCCCCGATTGATTTAAAATTGGCAGTGATGGAGGATCAACCACGACCCTTGGGAAATTGCTCCAATGATCAGTTACTCTGATTGTTACAAATTTACACCTCATTTCCAGTCTGAATTTGTCTAGGTTCAGCTTCTGTTCACTGGATCGTGTTAGACCTTCCTCTGCTAGAGTGAAGATCCCATTATTAAATACTTGTTCCCCACGTAGGTACTTACAGACTGTGATCAAGTGACCTTTTCACCTTCTCTTTGTTAGGCTAAATAAATTGAGCTCCTTGTGTCTCTCACTCCAAGGCAGGTTTTTAAGTCCTGTAATCATTCTCGTGGCTCTTCTCTGAATAAGGAAAAAAAATCTCTTTCTAAAAAAGACAATTTTGGGGTCAAGAGGATATTACGGGTACCAGCTAATAAATTCTTTCTCTATGCAAATATCGACAATTCCATCTGTACCCCTATTCATCTGGCTCTGGCCCTGAGTTGTCACTGGTTTGGGGTTTGCATGCACGTTGCTTGTACCTCCGAAACTCTTCCTCCATGGTGAGGTAGAAGATGGGGTTGAGGCAGCTGCTGAAATATGTCACTACAGAAGAAATAGCACTTCCTATCTCCAGAAGAGGTGGAGGGTACATATCTGAGATCTGCAGGAAGAAGAAGACGTGATACGGCAGCCAGCAGAGGAAAAAGGTCGGGATCAAGCCAAGAAGGATCTTGAGTGGCTTGGTGGACTGGATCAGCCTGTTTCTTCTCAGTTTGGCAGCTAGAACGATGTAGAATGTTGGGATTAAGATCAAGGCTAGTGGGATCAGAAACCCGACCAGGAACTGGATTGCAATGGCAGCCTTCGCCCTCCCTGCATCTGGATGGAAATACCTTCTGATGCTGGGAGGTGGGAGCAGGTATTCTGAGAGATCACCGTACCTCAAACTGAACCCAAGAGACAGGGCCCACAAGCCCATAACCACCCCAAAAGCCAGGGGGAGCGTGCGGCGGTTCTGGGCCGACTCAGGGCATGCCGCTAAGATGCAGCGATCGACACTGAGGGCCGTGAGGAGGAAAGCGCTGGAGAACATGTGGAGGGAGGTGATGGTGCTGCTCAGCCTCCAGGTGCAGTCAAAGTCGGAGAGGGAAATTAATCTGATTGGCAGGAAGATGATGAAGATGAAATCGGCCAAGGCCCGGTTCCAGAACCACATGGCACTGACCGTCCTCTCCACACGGCAGCCAGCAACGAAGAGGACGTAGCTGTTTAATGGCACCCCGGTGAGGAAGGCCACGCCACTCAGCACCAGGAGGAGGATTGAGGGGAACATCATTGTCGTAGGAGTTGCAGCCACAATATCCCCTCCTTCGTCAGGACTTGGTGGGTCCATTAGTACAGACGTTCTACTGAACAAAGAAAGGAAGAGCAATGAAAAGGGCTCCAGGAGGGGATGTGGACAGAATGAGACAGCCACAAAGTTTGTAATCTCCTCAGAGTTTACAAACTCCCCAGATCCTAAGCTCAGCTCAAATATGATCAAATACAATGGTTCAAAGACCTTAGAAGCATAGAGCCAGAGGGTTAGGCGGGGACCATGAGGGTCATCTCATCTAACCCCCTGCCAAAGGTCATCTCATCTAACCCCCTGCCAAATGCTAGAAGTCTAAATAATAAGATGGGTGAACTAGAGTGCCTTGTGATAAAGGAGGATATTGATATAACAGGCATCACAGAAACCTGGTGAAGTGACAACAATCAATGGGACAAAATCATTCCGGGATACAAAATATATTGGAAGGACAGAACAGGTTGTGCGGGGGGGGGGGAAGGGGCCCTATATATAAAAGAAAATGGAGAATAAAATAAAGAAAAAATCTCAAATGAATCCACATGTTCCATAGAATCTCTATGGATAGTAATTCCATGCTCTAATAAGACTATAACATTAGGGATCTATTATCAACCACCTGACCAGGACAGTGATAGTGATCATGAAATGCTA